TATTATTACAAAAAAAAATTTTTTAAAAATGACGAAATTAATTAATTAATTAACAAACGAACGTGTTATATTGGGGAAAGTTTGTTTGTTTTCGTTTGTAACTTTTAAAAAAAAAAAAAATGGCGCGTAAAGTTTTGAAACTTTTTTTTTTTTTTTTTTGAAATTTTTACGTTTTAAAACATTTTTAAAAAGGAGGGGTGTAAATATAAATAAATGAATATTTTTACGCATGAAATGAAATTTATCCATGACACCTGGATGGACAAAAGGCGTGGTTGGAAAATGAATTTTCTCAACCGGAAAAATATTAAAAATTAGGGTTTTTTTTTTTTTTTTTTTTTAGGAAAACAAACGAAAAGGTTTGGATAAAATACCGGAAATGATATTAATTCCTTATTATTTACAACGCAAGTCAACTTTTTCTCTCTCTCTCTCTCTCTCTCTATGTAAAATTCATGGGTTTGTTCAAAAAAAAAAAAGAAAAAAAAAATTTTTTTAAATAAGGATAAGAAAAATAAATTAAAACGAGTGAAAGTTCATCATTGACTACCGATAATAATAATAATAATGTATGAAATTAATTATCATGTAGGTCATTGGCTTTGATTTTTACACGTCGATTCCAAAATAATTTCCCCCCCCCCTCTCTCTCTCTATAATTTTTATATCTCTCTTATCTCTTTGATAACTACTGGAATTACCCCTTCTAGAAAATCATGGAACGTTTAAAAATCATTTTAAAGTCCAAACAATCTTTGCTAGTTATATTAACGAATGTTTTTTTTCTAACTAATTCAAATATTCTAGACGGTCAATAAGATTAATAATAATAATAATAATTTTTTTTTCGAATGTTTTTTAGTACTAAGGACACGATGAGTATTGAAAAAATAAATTTGCTATTGGCAAAAAAAAAAAAAAGCCCATTGTATGCGTGAGAGTAAGTGCGTACATTATGCGTGTTATGAATGAAAATTTTATACCAACGATTTATGAACCGGTTTAACATGTGAATTTCCTCTTAACGAAAAAAAAAAAAACTCGTCTGATGTATGTAAAAAAAGTAAATGACTCATTTAAAATTAATGTTTTTACTTTTAGACTGACCTCGAATATGTTTAATCTCACCTTATTTATTTGCCTCGAGTGAAAGATAATAATAATAATAATATTAAAAAGCTTTCGCCGTATAACGAAAATAAAATTTGTATTATCCATTGGGAATCCATTTTAATCCAATGAATAAATATTATTATTATTATTATTCGCGTATGTTTGTATTGAGAACGTTGAAATTTTTCTTCTTCTTATTATTATTATTATTATTATTTGCCATATTTATTTATTTGGCAGACGTTTATAAATAAACGTTTTTGGTTTTTCTCCACGTTAATTATTTCAACGGTTTAATTTTGTGTTTTTTATAAAACGAATTTTTAAAAGTAGAAGGAAATGTAAAAAAATTTCTTTTATATTCTTACCACGTGACTCCTGTTGAACCAATCAAAAATGTTTAACCGCATCCATAATGACCTTGAACACTTTTCATCCCTTTCTTCGTAAATTATTAAATAACGAAAAACATTATATATGGCGCGTTGTTAAACAAAAAAAAAAAACACTTAAATTAAAAACTATTAAGAAAAAATGAAATAAATGACCTTTGCTAAGGTCAAGAAAGGTAATAATAATAATAAAAATTAACAATACGACGTCTCGTCTCGTTTAATCTTACACGAACGTTTAGACGTGAATCACCTCGTGACCGGTGACCGCTCAACTCGTCATAGAATAAATAAACGTTTGTCGCGAGGGAAAAATTAAAAAGAAACGCATCAAATTTTCAAAAGGTTTCATTACGAAAAAAGAAACGCATCAAAATTCGAAATATTTGGTTTTAAAAAATTTTTTTTTTTTTGATCGTTAATTAATATGCACCAATAATTATTCCGATGATGTATAAAAATTCGTTTGGCATAACGGAAAAAAAACGTTTTTTTTTTTTCAAATTAATTTAGGTTTTTGTGTTATTCTATCGGGGTTTTTTTTTTTTTTTTTAAACATTTTAATAAAATTTATTTATTTTTTATTATTAAATTAATATATTAATGGCGTTGAATCATTCAAACACTTTCTTTTTTCTTTTTTTTTGGCTCGTAATCCTTTTATTTTCATTTTACTTTTTTATTATTATTATTATTATTATTATTATTATTATTAAATAAATCAAAAAAGCGAATCGGCTCTAATTTATTAAATTTTATTTATTTTTTTTTTTTAATGAATTATTAATAATTTATATTTAAAAAAAAAAAAAAAGAAATTTATTTTTTTTTTTAAAAACCGATTTCACTTTTATTATTATTAAACATATATGTATGATTTTATATTAATAATAATAATAATAATAATAATAATAATAATAATAATAATAATAATAATAATAATAATAATAATAATAATAATTGTCGGTTGAATTATTTAATAACTCGTTTTTTTATAATTAAAAAATTTAAATTTTTATTTATTATTTTAAAAATGGCGGCGTACAAATGGAAAAAAAGGTAGATTCTCTAAAGGAGATGATTTTCCCAACATAATCTTCTATTTTTTTTTCAATTTAAACATTATTATTATTATTATTATGTAAAAACGAATTTTCCAGTAAAAAGCAAACGCTAACGGAATAGTAAAGAAATTTTATTTATTTTTCTGTCTATTTTACTACAATAGAACATTGTTTTGTTTTTTTTGTTTAAAAAAAAACAAAACAAAACAATGTTTTTGTTTTTAATTAATTAATTATTACAAAGCGATGATTATTATAAACTCGAGTATTTGGGTTAATAAGTTATTATTAATATAATCCAGGATTATTATTTCATCATGGCCGAGGGAAAAATTTCATTGATTATGAAAATTTTTTTTATTTTCACGGTTACTTAACCGGATTTTTAATAAACAACAAACAACACATATTGCACGCGGTGAGAAATCATGGAGAGAGAGAGAGAGAGGGAGAGAGAGAGAGAGAGAGAGAGAGAGAAAAGGTACAATAATAATAATTCAGGTGTTAACTGTATATAAAAAACAGAAGAAAAAAATAATTAAAATGAAATTTTTCATACCTGATCGTGACGAATACGACGGATTTGTTTGTTTGTTTAAATTTTAACGTTTGAATTTTTTTTGGATGGAAAAAGACTTTTATGGAAATTAAATCCGTTTGTTTTGTTGACGAGAAAGTTTGTCCTACAATTTGTGCCATTTATTATTATTATTATTTTTTGTTTTTTGCAAAGACACGTTTTCGCAGAATAAAAAAAAAAAATTGGATTTGATGGAAAAGGCAACGTTTCTGTTTTTTTTTAATAATTCCAGTTTTGGAAAATTTTTTTGAAAAATTATGCTTTGGCAACAATCTTCAACGGTTGTTGTTTTTAAACAAAAATATTTCCGAATTTGTCTCCAATAATAAAATAGAGAAATTTTTTGCGTTTATAGAGCTTAACCTTGTTTTTACGAAATCAATGAACGAAACATTGTTAACAAGTCTAGCAGAGCATCGTAAGAATTTGTTTATAATAATATAAAAAAAAAAAACAAAAAAGGAAGGAAGTAATTACTGTCAAACTAAAAAAAAAGTAATTTTTTTACTAACGTCGAAGTGGTTTTAGATAAACAAACAAACAAAAAAATGTAGTTGTTAAAAAATGTAAATCGATTCCGGTAGGTTAAAAATTCATGTTTTTGTTTTTTCCAGAAGAATGTCGAAAGGTTTAGGAAAAAAATGGCGAACGAATTTGAGTTTTCTTCTATAATAAATTCAAAAATGATCGTGAAACCGACAATATGGATACCACTTTTAATAACGGCTTTATTTCATGTTGAACTATTGGATAGTTTAGCATTGAGCCACGACGATTTGGAAAGTGCTAATAAGTAAGTTGAAAAGTTTTGAGAGAGAGAGAGAGAAAGAGAGATGTTAACCTAATATTAAATTTTCTTTTTTAATTTTCTTAGAACATGCGACGGAAAAGGAAGTTGCGAAACATACGGTAGAGACGTTCGACTATTGGAAGAAATAAATTGGCTGGAAAGAAATTGTTTATGCGACAAACTTTGCGCCAAATATGGGGATTGTTGCGTGGATTCGCCATATTTTAGAGTTGCGGAACAAAGGCGAGGAGCAGCATCTTTTTCCTGTGTAAATTTAAAACAATTCGGAGGAGTGTACATGGTGACAACTTGTCCTTCCATGTGGAAAAATTCTAATTACAGAACAAAATGCGAAATGGTTGACAATTCGGATCCTCTTACAAATCTTCCCGTCACGAGTCATCGAAGCGGAGTGACATATAGAAATTTTCATTGTGCTTTGTGTCACAGCGATGCGGAAAACACGACGACGGATTTTTGGATACCACGTTTGGAATGTCCATCCCTTCATTTACCAAATTTGTCTCAGGTTACCGAAAACGTGACGGATTTATTAAAATGGAACGAAACTAAAACACAGTGGGGAGTTCAATTACAATCTTGGCATCCGTGTTTTATTGATCCGGTTATACCAGAAACTTCGAGTTATTTAATTCGAAGGTGTCGCGAAAACGTGATACACGCGTGTGCCGTTAACTGGACAAATGCTGACGTTCGTAACAGATGCGAAGCTTACACTTCTTTAGTTTACGATGGACCAAAAGCTTATAGAAATCCTCACTGTGCTTTATGTAATAATATCCCCTTGCAAAATTTGGCTTGTTCAAAAATATCACAACGTGAATTCCTTCCAAATTATTTTAATCCGACAGCATTTTCAATTTTATTTGACCTAACTGGAAAATCGGAAGCTGTCGGTAAAATAAAACCGTGTTTGGCGGGTCAACTATACGATCCTTTTTTTAAAATATGTCGAGATGTTTTATGTCCGAAACCCGAAGCTGGAAAATCTTGTTTGGCTGAAGAAAAAGATGATTATTACTCACCAATATTACCATCCTACAAAGATGATGACGTAGATAATTTAAATTACACTATGAAGTTTCTTGCATGTCCTAAATTTTTATTGGCACCAGAAGACTTCGTGTTTAATGACGACAGCAACAAAACCATTTTCATATCAACCTACGAAAAATATTTTACAGAAAATGAATTTAAAGTGAACGATGACGGAACCGTGGAAATTTGTGCTGGAACATTAGGCCAAAGATTGATAAATAAATTTGGACAGTATATGGGATACATTACCGCTGTCGGATTGGGTGTTTCCATAGTTTTTTTGGTTCTTCATCTTCTTGCTTTTTTAGTCGTGCCAGATTTACAAAATTTAAGCGGTAAAAATTTGGCATCTTTATGCGTTGCTTTATTACTGGCCAATATTTCTTTCATATCGGGTCAAAGGATAACTACCGGTACAAGATCGTGTGCCGCTTCCGGAATTGTCACCTATTACGGTTACCTCGCATCGTTTTTTTGGATGCTGACGATGGCTTTTGACATATGGAGAACATTAAAAATTGCAACTTTTGAATTAAGAGTGTCTTCTGGAAAACAATGGAAAAAGTTTATCGTGTATTCGATATGGAGCTGGATGGCTCCTCTTATTTTAATGATAGCGGCTGTTGTTACAGACATTTCACCAAGTGGAACCGTAAATGTATACATTCGTCCTTTCTTCGGAGTACATTCTTGTTGGTTCGGACACAGACAAGCGCTACTCATATTTTTTGCCGCTCCCTTTGCCGTCATTATGATAGCCAATATCGGATTTTTCGCTTCGAGTGCTCACATGATATTTTCAACTACATCGACAACGAGATACACTGCCAGTGGTTCAACGCAAAGAGATTTTAGGTTATACATACGATTAGCATTAGTCATGGGTCTTACATGGTTGACAGGCTTATTTGCCGGATATTTAGATATCGACGCCTTGTGGTATTCATTCATTGCTTTAAATACTCTTCAAGGACTTTTTATTTTCTTAGCTTTTACTTGCAATGACAAAGTCATAAGAACAATCAAAGAACTTATTTGTACCAAATTGGATTACGATATAACAGCGAGTGACATTAAAGATAGAAGACCTCCATCGTATTCTTGGTCTGGAGGATCCAGCTATTCGACGAACAAATCGAATCTCGGCTCGAGTAGTGAAGACAGTACTAAAAATAGAGCATCAGAAGCTAATTCCAAAATGGGATACGACAGCGCTCCGAGGAGTAGAGCTTTCGAAGATAGAATTTCCGCAGATTACGATTCTTCCGAAAGAAATACTAAAAAATTTGACACTCCATTGAGTAATCCGGAATTTTCAAAAGGTTCGAGAGAGGATTTAAATTCGAAATTATCATATACGGGTCGGGCTCGTAAAAAAAGCAGCGAACTATTACCAAAAGTGAATTATAGTAGTCACCCAGAATTAAATTTTGAAGAAAATTCAAAATTACATTCAATGTATGGTGGTACAAAAAATGCCGGAAGAAATTCTTTGTACGGTAGAAAGCATTCAGAAGATGCCCTTTACTGAAACTGAAATCGATATTTGAAAAAAAAAAAAAAAACATTTTTTTTTATTTGTATATTACTATAATTATTATTATTATTAATATTGTGTTTCTGTAAGTTATATATATAAATATTTTTTAATTTTAATAAATAAACTACATAAAAAAACAAAATACTTAACGGCCTCATTTAATTAAATTTAAATAAATTTCATTTTCGCCTTAAATTTAATAATTATGCAATTGCTTAACTTTCAAATTTAATTATTATAAATTGATTAATAATTATTTATTTATTTATTTCCGTTTATTAATTTCACACGAGTACGAATAACGAAAAAATTACCCGATAACCCATCGATTAATTTCAAAGGAATTAAAATAAAAAAAAAAAAAACCGAAACCACAAATTTTTAATATTAATTTCACTTTTTATTTAAAAAAAAAAAAAGAAAAATACAGAGAACAGTACAGTATACGATTTCAGTTCGGTAACAAACAAAAAAAAATAAAATCTCAGTTTTTTTCTTTTGTTTTCCACAGCAAAAATGTTTTTTATTAATTACAGTTAATTGAAAAATTTTCATTTTTATTATTATATTATTATTATTTTTTTTTTTTTTTAATATTAAAAGTTTTCTACAATTCAACAAATGATTTTTAATTGCGTGGTAACAAACAACAACAACAAAAACAATTAATTAAAAAAATAGTATCTAATAAGATTTACGACGGAGATCTAACTAACTAACTAACTAACTAACTAACGCTCTAATAATTTGTCTAATAAAAATAATTATTTTATTATTACATTATTAATATAAATACAATTAATTAAATTCAGTCTTTATAAAACTGATTATTACCACTGTTTATACCATTTACCAATTTTTTTATTTTATAATTTTTTTGGCCCCTTTTTGATAATTTTAACAACAACAACAACAAGGAAAAATAAAAAATAAAAATTTTTCTTTCCCTTCCTTCTCTCCCCTCCCCTCCCTCCCCCCAATTCGCATTCTATTCATTGGCCCACGTGATCTATAAACTTTAAATGGAACATTGAGACAAAAAAAAATATATATAAATATCACCGATTGTAAAAAAAAAAAAAAAAAATGATCAAACAGTAAATAAATATAGGTAACATTTATATATATAAATATATAAAGTAGCGACATATAATAAACACATTCTTAAATTATATTATTTCATCATTATTGAGTCAGCCTTTTCAATTTTGTTTAAATAAATTAAATATTGTCATTATTATTATTATTATTATTATTATTATCAAAGTTTTATACCGATTTCCCAAAAAAAAAAAAAAATCGGAAATTTTCCGGCGAGCGCGCAATTGGGGATTATGTGAAATTTCCCTACATTAGCAACAACAATTTTATCACGACTGACTCGAACCTTTTGCATTAAAAAAAAAAAAATTTCTGTCGGAAACAAACAATAACATTAAATAAATAACATTAATTAAAATTCAGTCTGATTAATTGCTCCCATTTTTTTTTTTTTTTGAAACATCGAATGAATGAATGAAAAAAAAAAAAAGAAATCTGACGGTCGTTTTATGATGCCCTAATATAACATAGTGACGTCATGTTTTGTTATTGTAAAGCTCAAGAGCAATATTAGAAAAACGAACACAATTGTAAGTCTTTTTGGTAATACTACCACACTACTACTACTACTACTATTGACAAAGTTATTAAATAAAAAATAATATATTAAACTATTATTAACGCGTAAAAGAAGAAGAACACTCGGGAGGACATTTTTCTTTTTTTTTAAATATACCGTTAACGAAAAAGGAATAAAAAAAAAAAAAAAAAAAAAATGTTTTGATGAGATTTGGTAAAAAGTTATAAACTTTTCTTTCGATGGATTTCATGTCGTGGAACGAATAATAATCGATCGACCTTCTTCGGGCCTTTCTTTTATTTTTCCCTCTAGAGTCACGCGTATGTGAAAAACGTCCGTGAAAAATAAACACTTACACTCATCGCGATGGTCAGGTGCAGAGGAGTCGGAGAGGACATTTTCGAAATCCCGCCGCTGGAATACGTCGTCGTCAGATCCACTGGAGGGATTTGCCGTCGAACTCTATCAATTATTTCATACTGAGAAGGCGACAGACTAGATGATTGTTCGACGGAAACGGCAGCCGCAGAGAGCGTGGGAATTTTCAACAGCTGTTCTTCAGTCAATACCTAAACATAATTTATAGCGTTAGGGTAACGATTTCCGTTTCCTTTTTACTTTTATCGTTAATAAAAACTACCTTAAAAACGTCGGGAGGAATGCAAGACACCGCACGAGGACTCAATCCGGCCATGGCTTCTGCTCTTAATCCTCGTCCATCTTTGATTTGCCAGTCGGTTTTCTTAAGACCTTCAATGAATAATAAAATTAGGATAATCCTTCAAATTTATTTATTTATTTATTTCATTTGGACATTGTGCGTGACGTGACTTACCGGCAGCGATGACTCCCAAATCCGAAACGTCGTTCGCATTCCACTTATTAGTGTCCCCGAATGCGTCATGAGAAGTTGCTATGTTGGCCAATTGCCTTATGCAAGTCTCGAATACCATGTTACTGCAATCTAATGTTTGTCCTAGAGTTTTGGCAACGTTAATAAATACTTCCGGATGACTTAGTAAATATTTTCTTTGGTGAGATAACGTCATCGAACATACTAAACGACCCACCGAAACCGCTGTTTCGTAATTAAACGATTGAAGATCCATATTTTTCAAGAGGAACTGATCCGTTGCGAGAAGCATCTGAATGATAAAAGTAAAAGGAAAAAGGAAAATTAATCCTCCTCGAACGATCAATTTTTAAAAAATGATGACGACAATTTCAATTACCGTTTCCGGATCCGTGATGTGAGTGGACAACACGTGTAAATTTTCCAAAGCCCAGGGTTCGCTTAATTTCAATGGGATTTTAATCAAATCGCTTTCGTCGATGGCTGAAACTAAACTTCCGACTTCCAATAAATTTCCACTTTCTTTCCACTGTAATTTTACAAAAAATAATAAATGAAAATAACGAAATTAAAAATTTTTTTTAATTCTTCAATATTTAAAAAAAAAAAAAAATAAATAAATATAAAGGATACGAACCTTTTTGAGTTTGTTGAAAATAAAACTTTTCACGCCATTATTCAAATTAAGACTCCCTAAATATTCGGCACAATCTTCCAATTCCGTATCGTTCATCTTTTTAAAGTCTTCGACTTCTAAAATGAGATTCGCCGATTTTCCCAACATTTTAATGGCGTCGCAGCTAACCTAAAAAGAAAAAGAAAAATTAATTTTTGTCGTCGAGAAAAAAAAGTTTTGATATTCAACGAGTTAGTTCAAAAAACAATTTCAATTTTTCCTTACCCTTATGTTGTGAGCGGAGGATTTTCCAAAATTGACAAAATCCGTTCTGTTTAAAGGAACTTCCACGATTAAAGCTCTCGAAGCGTTTTTCTGGAGTTCTTTCTGAACCTCTTCGAACGACTTTGATTTTTTCGTATGAAACAATTCCGAATTATCTTTATCGTTTTCGAAATCCTTTGGAGAATTTTTATCGAATCTCCTTTTCCTGTAAATTTCCTCCAGCGACACATCCAATTTCGAATTACGGAATTTTTTCGATTTAACCATTGATTCAAACAAAGATGGAAGACTTTTTTCATGTGATGCGTTTTCATTGCGATTATCAACTTCTTTAAAATCTTCATTTTTTACATTCGAATCTTCCACGTCTTTGACAGCCGCTTTATCGTTTTCGAAATCATCCCGATATTCATCGTCGGTTTCCTCGTTGAAAAAATGATGATCGTCCATTTCTTCCGATGAATAATCGTAATTTTCAAACGAATCCTCATTTTTGACATCTTCCGTCGCATTTATCACGGGAATGGGTTTCGAAGGTGATAAGTGACTCAGTAAATGAGTCGAAATCACCGGAGAAATTATCGTCAGAGCATTTTCCACGAGATTCGGTTTTTCGTTTAATTTCAATATATTTTCCGGCGTGGCAATTGTTTGCAATAAAAATTCGTTTGATTCCAAATAAAACCGTAGTAATTGTTTGATGGACGTTCGAAAAGAAATTTTTTCCGGTATGCTGAGAATTTCAAGGCACGCTTCGTACAAATGTAAAGGTTTCGGCGAACCCGGCCAATCGACAACGGTAAAAAATGCAGTGGATCTAGACAAAACATCGGCAGCTTCCATTCGACTAGTCTTATTGATTCTTTCTAACTCGTAGCTGTCGAAAACGAACAACAGATCCCCGAGATTACTTAATACGCCGGAAGACCAAGAATCAGGTTTTCCGAAAACTCGAATCAATAATTCTTTCCACGAATTTCTTTCCTTTTCGTTCCAACACAGTGCTCTGATCGCATTTTCCTCCAGAGATTCAATGTGCATTTTAAAAGCGTCAACGTTCACTTTTTTAATTTTATTCTCATTTAAAAACCAAATGAGATTTCCCAAGTTATTCATTGTTTGAAGGTTAATGTCATCGGTAAAGGTAACGTAAATATTAGTTAACTGTTTTGTATTTTCTAAAGAGGTAGCGGTAAGTAATTCCGGAATCGTTAATTTTCCTATTTCCGATATTATTTGATATTTAATCCTTAGGGAATCTATTAAATCGATGGGTAATCCGGCTAATATGTATCCACCGATTGCTCTCACTTCGTAAACTTCTAATAAGCTTAACAAACTAAATGGTTCGTTGGTTAATCCCTGAAGAGAAGCTTTCAATTTGAAATATTTCGTGAGAGCTTTTTGTGAACAATATTGCATGTTCTTTGGAAAAATCTGGAAATGAAAAAAAAACGAATGAATTATTATTATTATTAAATTTGAACTTGGTCGGGAATTTTCCGGTTAATTTTTTTTTTTACTCACCTCATTCATCGCACGTCTTTGATGAACGTAATAGCCTATGATCGGAATGAAATCTGAAATTTCCAGGACTTCAACATCCGCACAAGTCAAACCGGAAATGAACAATTTCAAAGGTGATTCGATTAGATTTTCGTAATTCCATCCGCCATCTTTTTTTAAGGCTTCTCGACGATGTAATGACAAGATGGCCGAGAGCTTTAAATAAAAACAAAATTCATCGAATTTTAAGAGAAAACGTTTTTAGAATTTGAAGATTTTGAAAAAAAAAAAAAAAAAAAAAAAAAGATGGGAGCATACCGTGCTGGAGGGTAACATTCGAATATTTCTTTCAATCACTGGATTTTTACTGACTATTTCAAATAAATTTATAACGATATCTTGGTATTTTTCCGTGATGTCACGATTTCCCAACAATTTAAAATACTGTACAAAGTCTTTATTGTAAAGCATTTTTTCCAGGTACGAATTTAAAACTGAAATAAAAATAACGATAAATTATTTTACAATAGAAGAGAAAAAAAAAACGAGACAACAAAAAAAAAAAAAAATTACATTTTTATTCACGTTACCTAAATCTTTTCTAACTTTTTCTAAAACCGATGCCGTGAAAGGTACAGATTCACCCGTGGCAAACATCAATAAGTGTTCTTTTATCGGACTGGATAAAAAATTAGCTGGATATTTGGTTATTTCAAGCGAAGGAATCGATTTTAAAAGACCTTTGAAATTCAATACGGTTTTAGGCTCTGACAAATCGATGAGGCTTCCAGATTTAGTCAGGTAGCGAACCTAAAATTCGTTTTTTTTTATAATAAACCACGAAGATGATAAACGGGGAAATTAATTATATTCAATTTATACCTGTTGATAGGATAACAAAGAAGAATCAACCGAAGCTAACTTATCTAAATCCGTTTCTTCGATTTGAAAGTTTTCAAGGAATGAAGGTGGTAGTAAATGGAAAAATTTTCCAAAACTCAGCATGTGTTCTTTCCAAAATTCCGAATTCATTTCCAGAGTGTCGTTATATTTTGAAATAACGTAAGCGACATAACTAGAAAATATCTGGAGAACAAAAAAAAAAATTATTTTCGCACTTCGAAAAGGACGACAACGAAAATAAAAAAAATTTTACTCACTTGTTTCTCTGTGGGCAACGACATTCCCGTCGTATCCTTCAGGTATTCAAAATCCGTTGCGTTATAGGAAAATTGTTGAATTTGTCGCGGCAACAAATACAAAACAATATTTTTCACATTGTTCAAAACGTTTTCGTTTAAATCGGTCGTTCCGGAATACCCGACATCGAAAACGGCACGAGCTTGCAAAGAATTCCAATTTAAATCTAACAACAATTTAAAATCTTGGGAAATTCTCAGATCCGTTGAAAGTTGGGATAATTCGTCGGGAGTCGCACCGATGAGAAAAGAACCTAATAATTTCACTATTTTCGGCGTCCACCTACTCGGAGGTTCCGCTTTGGTCAAAACAATGTACGACCATATCCTTTTCACGGACATGCCGTGTTGACTCCAGTAATTGTACGAAGTCCAATCGTCCCACCTCCAGTTTCGAAGATGAAACAAAAATCTTTCCGTTTCTTCGAGCGAGAGGGAATTTAAAAAATAATTTGGCAAATTGGCTAAAACCGGAGATCCCGTCATCATGCTCGCTCTAAACAACCAATATTCCCACTGCGAACCTTTTGAAAACCACTTGGACAGTGCACGTGCAATTTCTTTTTCGACAGCCGGAGATATAGGGGCTATGTCTCTCAACGATTGCTCTTCTATTACCTCATCCTCGCTTACCAACAACATCTCTTCCCTTTCGGATAGCTAAAATTTAAAAAGTCTTATTAAAACAACGATATATCAAAAAGTCTATGTGCACTATTTAAAATAATTGATCAATCAAGCAAAAAAAAAAAAAAAAACATGTTAGGTCAAAAGGTTAATTAAATTTCACGATCTCTCCATTACTACACTACTTACTCCTTTAAGAAAATTTTTTATTTTTTTCTTCTCCGTAAAGACGCTGAGGATTTTCATCGTCAAAGCGTCATCAAATGGAAACCTTCGTACGATGTTTGACGCGCTAAGACCGGTAATTGAAGAAAATCGTACTTTCTAAAATTAGTTTCGATTCGATCAATAATAATAATAATGATTTTCTCCACATGAACAATAATAATAATAATAATAATAAAGATTCAAACTCACCGGAATCAAATATAGAAAACTTGCTGGCAAATTTTCCAATGAAGAAGAATCTACGATTTCATTACTCGTCGTGTTAAAAAGAGGTTTCTTGAGTTTTTCATATAATTTTTGTATTCTTTTGGGAATCCTTTCAACCTGCGTTGTTTAAGAAACCCCCCAACAAAAAAAAAAAAAAAAACAAAAATGTTTGAATACATAATAATTACATCGATAAAAACAAACAAATAGTAAAAGTAAAAGGGGTCGGAAACCTTTCGGAAAACAACTTCCCATCTTTTTAATTATAATTTTTAATTAAGGAAAAATCCTCAAAGCATTTATAAGTTATATTTACGTCATGGACTCATACGTCACTTTCATAATGTTTACACAATAAACTTTTCATTAACGACATTTTTCCTTTTTTATTATCGACAACCCCCGGAGGCGTCAAAATGATGCCTACTCGGTCAAATAAAGTTCAATGACGTCAATACTATTTTCCACCCCCCCCCACAATTATTTACTCATCAAAAATTAATTTTTTTTTATGTATAGTCACCTAATACTTTCAACGTAGTAAAATAAAACCAGTTCAATTAACGATTCGTTAAAATTTAATTTGCACAGAGAGAGAGAGAGGGGGGGGGGAAAAGGAAAACTCACCGAACGTTTGGCTTCATCGCAAGTATTCAAAGGAGAAGAAAATAAACATTTTAATACGGCCAATTCGGAAGATTGAACAACAATATCTTTCTGAGATGTTTCTACGGGAGCTGAAAAACCTGAAAACAAACAAAAAAAAAAAAAAACCTTTTAAAATCTAAAAGAAAAGGTCGAACGATTTTTTTTATAGGTTCAAAAAATTTTCTCTCCGGAAGAAATTTTACCAAAGTAAACGTCATAATCTCTCGTTATTTAATATCGCAAAAAATAATAATAATAATAATAATAATTGATTGATTGAAGGTTTTCCGTTTTGTTTTGTTAAAGTGAGCAACTTTCGAAACATTGAATCTCAAATCTTGAAAATTAACTTTTTTGGCACATTGATATTGCCCCTTCCGCCCCAAATCAATGCCGACAACTTTGCCGTTGTATAAATGCATACCTTATAAATATGCTAATCGTAAAAAAAAAAATACGTAATAATAATAATAATAATAATAAAGGGGGGCAATTTAATTTTTTTTTTTTTTTTCATTTACGCATATAAAAATTACTGCATGTTAATGAGTAAAAACCTTTTTTTTTTTTTTTTGCTAATTACATCAATAATCAATTTAAAAATTTAAATTTAAATTAAAATTTAAAAAAAGCAAACTTTCTATGACGACAGCCGTTTGTTTATTACGACGTTAAAAAAAAAAAAAAAAAAAAAAAAAACAAATTATAATCATTAGTTTATTAACAATTTTTTTATGATTTTTTTTTTTTTTTTTGTAAAACAATAACAAAAAAATTTTTTAATTCAATTAAATTCATTCCCATTGACGTCTGGAATCATGCCATCAAATGCGTAAGTTTTAATCATTGGCTAGAATTTGCATCATCATTAGTGTGGCGTGATCCTTGATGACGCCTAATATCGTTATACCAAACATTCTAAATCGAATCCTTCGTTAAAAATAACAATAACAATAATAATAATAATAATAATAACAAGAACAATAATAATAATAATAATAACGAGAACAATAATAAAAAAGAATCCTTTTCGTCGTCCTTTGACAATTAATTGCCCAATTTAAAAAAAACAAAAGTTTTTAACGGCCATTTACAAAGTCAAAAAATTTGCCAATTTCTACTGACTTATAAAACCCCCCTTTCCCCACCCATCCCTCCCACCCCCGACATTGTTTTAAAAAATTTTAAATATAGTCTAAAAAAAAAAAAAAAAAAATTACGAAATTAGCGCCGCGAAAAAAAAAAAAAAATTTCCCATGATTTTTTTTTTGCGAAGAAAATAACTACGACGCACGAAAACTTATTATCATTATTATCATTATTTTTACGCATGTATATAAAAAAAATTGGCAGAGTTCTTATACGCGGGGGGGGGGCAAGTATATATAAAAGATTTTATTTACATTGAAATAATACCCCCCCCCCCCTTACAAATTATTTTTAATCGTCAATCGATTAATTTTTTTTTTATTTATGTAAAACGACATTGAATTCAGGTTGTTGTTGTTGTTGTTGTAGGCGTTGATTTACCTTGAATTTCGCGAAAAAAAAAAAAAAATTTTGTTTATCTATTATCACAATTGCGAATACCTTTTACTCGGGCAACAACAACAACAACAAAAAAAAATAATTGAATTTCCTGAAAGGGTAAAGAAAAAAAAAAAAAATATATATATATTGTTCGCGGAAGGCGGATTTAATAATTATCCTTGTAGAAACAAACGAGAGACAATAATATACAACGTAAAATTTCTTTAGGAGGGGGGCAGAGGGAATATAAAAATATTTTTTGGTTTACTTCGATTCGAAAGTTTTTTTTACATCATTGGACAAAAAAAAATAAGAAGAAACCTCAATTTACGCCTGATAACTTTTAAAAACTTGTGTGTGGTGAAAAACAAAAGGCATCAAATAATGATAGCAAAAACTTTCAATTTGAAAATTTAAATAAAATTGTAGCAAATTTTTCTTTCTAAATTCGAAAAAAAAAAAAAATAAATATTTATAAATGAAATTTTTCAAATATTTTTTCATTTTTACGAGTTTAACAACCTGTTATCCGTGGAGAATAAAAAAAAAAAAGAAAAACGCAAATTGATTTTCCATTTATTTATTTGGTTTCCCCCCATTGCCATAATCTCATTGTTCGTTAACCCGAAATTAACTCTTAATAAAGCTAAAAAAATAAAAAACCTTCCGTCGTCTGCTGCGTGTGATCCAATAACAAAAAAAAAAAATTCCGCTACATGAAATCAACCGATAAAAAATAATTTAGGCAAAAAAAAAAAAAAGAAAAACTGGTTTTTTTCTATAAAAAAATTATTATTATTATTATTACTTGGTAAGATTATCGATAATTTTAAAGGTATGCGTTTTTCAGGTTCTCAACTCAGGTTCTCAGTCAAAAATTATTTCGCCAAGGAACTAACTCAATACATTTTAAAATCGTTCAGAAATAAAAATAAATAAAAAAACTCGTAATAAATTTAAAAATTTAATGAATTAATCGATGATTTAAACCTAAATGACGTGAAAAGGGGCCCCACAAAAAAAAAGGAAAACACTTTCACACGATATTCCATGACGTACATTTCTCTTCTTTCCTTTTTTTTTTTTTTTTTTTGCATAAATTTTTAAAAAACAACAACAAACGTCGACAACCAACGTCAACAATCAAAAACATCATATTGTTAATAAATAAATAAATAAATCAATTATTTATCGATCCGGTTATTTCCTTGATAATTTTTCCGCATGAGACTCGTAAAACTACAATGACGACAACAACAACGACAACGACAATAATAATAATATTGATAAACCTGAATTTTTCTGTAAATGATGTTTGACGTTAAAACGAGTCATTAAACAGGTTTATGTGTCATTCTTCCCAAATGTCATTACACTGAAAAACCCTTGAAAATTATTTTTAATAGAAAAACCGATTTAAAAATCCCTCTTTACCTTCTGGAAAATTCAATTTCGAATATTTATTATCTCCCCCCTCCTCCTCCTCCTACTACTACTACTACTACTAGAGACTTAAACACGCGTGTTCAATATATTGAATTAACGTAAAGGCAACCGATATATACCACCAACGTTCGATTTTTTCAATTAAAACTAATTTGCCAATTTAAATTTCTGTCTCATACGTAACTCATGGCGTTCGATGAGCCAGCCAGCCCCCCCCCCCCCGAACGGTCGCAAAGAATAAAGACAAACCGACGTAGAAAAAAAAAAAAAAAAAAACTTCGCCCAATTGTCGAACTTAAAATTACACATAATTACCTACATGCCTCAAGAAATATATATTAATTTATAAACAGAATGTGTGGAAAAAAAGGAATGTAAGGCGACGTATAATTTTCATCTATCTTTTTCATGCCTCCTCCTCCTCCCCCCCCCCCGCGGTACCGTACCTGAGTATTTTATTATACGAACCGTATTTTTATACTTTTAATTATAGTTTCGGTTGAGTTGCGAAACATATCCTCTCGTGAGTTTTATTAACGCCACAAGTACATCCGTACTTTCATCCTCCTCCTCCTCCTACTACTACTACTACTACCATTACTACAATAAGCCAACAATAATGTTATATCATCATCCTTGTGTGTTCCCCTTATAGGTACCATAATTTTTTTTCCAGTTCGATCGAATATTAGCCGACAAAGAAAAATTTCGAAGCGTTTCCCTTCCCCCCTCCCCCCTCCCCCTTTTTTCCCTTTTTAAATAAGGAAATTTCGGTTATGCCAATTGCTCAAAGGCAGCAATAATAATCCATAAAAAAAAAAATTGTAAAATATTTTCAGGTTTAACCCGGAAGGTATCAATCAATTAAAAAAAAGGAATAAAAACAAAAATGGATACAATCTCGTATCGACCACACAATTTATAAAAAGAAAGTTAAAAAGCCTAAAAAACACGCGACTCTCTTTTATTAATTAGGCCCTTTTCGTATTTCATAATCATAATATTTTTACTATTGTTTGTTTGTTTGTTTGTTTGTTTTTGTTTGTTTTTTGCTATCTTGACAAAAAAAAATATATATTTATATATCTGATATAATTACCGAAATTTTTTTTTAGAATTAGGTAATTGGATAACATAAACAAAAACAATAACAACGACCACGACTACGACGATGACGACAACCACGATGACGACGACGATGACAACAACAACAACAACAACAATAATAATAATAATAATAGTTTACAATAAAAATAGAGATCATATACGGTACAATAAGTATAAAAAGAAAAAAAAAAGAAGAAGAAGCGAATGGGGGATGCCATGGCGTGATGAAACCTTCATTACAATTTTCAGGTATAAAACAATCAACCACGTGGGTCACAATTTTTTTTTTTTTTTTTTTGAAATACAAATTAATAATAATAATAATAATAATAATTGATATATTTATACTTACTGATTTTGAGTATTCCAAAAAAAAACCAAATTCGCCACATATTAGACGCCGAAATGCATCGACGTCTCCTCATGAAGGATTTTGATTTGACAACTTTTTCCGTTTTTTTTTTTTTTTATAAAAATTATTAATTATTAATTATTTTATTCTTCTGTCGTTGTTGTTGTTGTTATTTTAAATAACGAAACTTTTGCTTTTATTTTTTTAACACAAATCCCCCGGAGGATCTTTTTTTTTTTTTTTTGCTTTTTTGACTGGCGTACACAACTTTAAGACAAGTTAAGACAACACATACACTGGAACAAACAAGATTATTACATTTAAATATTATTTATATATTTATAAAAATTAATAAAATTGATGGCTTTATTTTTTTTTTTTGTACCTTATTTTACATTATTAAAACTTTTCTCTCTCATATAACAAACAACAACCAAACTAATTTAATTTAATCTTATACTGTTTGTTATTATGAATGAAACGTTTCATTTACAATTGCACACAAATCATCATCATTACAATGTCATTTTTTTTTGTAAAATATTAACATTTATGAAATTATTACTTCAGTATAACAATTTAACATATATATTATATATAATATAAACGTAATAATATAGTATATATGTTAAAATAACGTATTGTTGAAAATCAATAATTCGATCGATATTTTTTTTCATTATGTGACTGTGCTGCTGACATGATTATGTTTAATTATGAAATTATTTTTTATTACTTATGATCGACCATAACTAAATAATAATAATAATAATAAAACAATTTGAAAGCTTACCTGATTTTAATTATTAATTATTACTTTAATAACACAATCACAATCACTTAAACTAAAAACTTATTTTTTAAATGTCTGTTTTTTAAATAGAGAAAGCCGGGATTAAATTAATTCTCATTCTCATCGTACGTAATTATTAACTTATGTATATATATATTTTTAAAAATAACACTCCGATATTATATTTTTATTTAATATTTTTATGTAAAATGAAATTAAATTTAATTTAAATGAATAAAAACTTAAATAAACGAAAACCTTGAGAAAATGTTTTTGAAAAAAACGAACGCGAACGATTGAGAGAATAAAAAAAAAAAAAAAAAAGTTTAAGCGGTACTCTTAAAACTGTTAATATAGTGCGATCGTTTTTACGCTGCCAGATAGGTTGAATGGATGAGTCGATACCCCCACCACGAATAAGCCACGCCTCCAAAATCAGGTGATCTTAGGTATTTTACACAACAGTATATCTATCTCTCTCGCACTTAATTTAAACTCTATTACGTTTATGTTGATATTGTTATTACATACTTAACTTATGGTAGGGTGTATCTTTTGTGAAATTAACCGTTAAAAAAATTTTTTTTTTTTTTTTTTTTTTGTATAGGATTCCGTCCGTATGTATTTTTAAAACAATTAAATTTATTTTCGTTTGTCATAGAGTAAAAAAATTTTTTTTTTTTTCCGATGATACAAGCAAATTATCCCGCCAAATCACGCGACGCTCTTATTGGTCCATTAAAAGGGCGTGTTTTCAGGGTCAGACTGGGCGCTTAAATTCAAATAAATTATTATTAATAATTATACGAATAGACGCCGGAAGACTATATTAATTTTATAAGGTTTTTTTTTTTTATTTGACATTTTGAAATGTTTCTCTTAGTTTTTTCCTTTTATTAAATAATAATAATAATGTGTTTCTTTTGCTGTAAAAATATCCCATCGACCTAATGGGAAAAAAAAAAAAAACGAAAAAAATTTGACATTAGAAGTAAAAAAAAATGAAAAATTTCAATAATGGAGGTCAAGAAGAGCTGTTTTTTAAATAAATAATTTATAATTCAACGATTGCATTCTAGTTACGACAGAATCAAGATGTTTTACAACCTATTTTATTTAATTAGCATTTTTAAAATTAGGTCACATATTGTCAATGTTAATTTCTTAAGTTCTATTTAAATGAAAAAAATTTCAATAAGTAAATCATCGAACTTTTAAAACAAACAAATTACCTGATATCATAAATTTCCAGTTTCCATTGTTTTCTCCTATGAAGGACCTTCTGTGACCTTTTCTATGTTATAACTGTATTTTATTATTAATTAAATAAACTTTTAAAAAAATAAATAAATAAGTTTATTAAATTGTTTAAATAATTTTTTTTTTTTTAATATAAAAAGTTTTTTCATCATCATTATAAATAGCACAGTAGCAAATGATTAATTAATAATTTAAATAAATTGAAAACAAATATAATAATAATAATACACATGGCTTAATTATAGGTTCATTTGATATTGTGAATTATATTTATTAAAACAAATCTTGTTTCTATGCCTCCTCCCCCTCCCCCAGTCAACAGCAAGAACTCAAAACATTTTTAAAACTTTTTCCTGGGTTTTTCATCACATCAAATTACAATTCATGATAATTATAAATAAAAAATATATCCTTTAACCTGAAATTAATTAAATTATTATTATTATTATTATTATGTAAGTAAACATTTTATAATTAATTAAATAATAAATAATCGGTCAACGACATTTTTTTTTGGTTGTAAGGTCATTAAAATAATTTGATGTACTGTTAGGATAGATTGTTTTTAACTATCCACGTGATATTTTGTGATAACTATCCACGTGTAATTTTTTTGTGCAAAAAAAAAAAGTACAAAGCAAATAAATACAAACTTTGCTCATAATTAACAAACAAATTTTTAAATTTTTTAATTTATAAAAATTACTTTAAAATAAAATTTAAAAATTATATTTGACACTGATTACCATAATGAATTCGAATAAATTTTTACTTAAAAAAAAATTTAAATATTATGTCAAAATATTATAATGATAATAATAATTATACGTATGATATAAATAAAAGCCTTAAAGCAAAAATAAAAAATAACTTGTGTAAATAATTTCATTTGCCTTTAGCATAAACCATAGCTCCAAACACAAAAAAAAAATTATTTAAATAAATAATTAATAATTCAAATATATCAATCAACAACCTTTTTTCTTCAGGTATTTTTATACAATTTTCAACTAAATTATTTAAAATATATTAAAACTTAATATTATAATTAGTATATCGTTGATCGTGAGCCTTGAGAAATTTGTTCTGCTTTTTTTTTTGTTGCTTTTGGGTGTATTAAATCTAGACTTTTCATTTACCACAAATGTAACTAGAAAATGACTTCGATAACAATTTTTTATTATTAATTCAAAATTAAAAAACTTTCAAATTGCATATTTCACTCCATTTTTTTTCCCCCAATAAAAAGGAATGTTTTTAAAAAAAAAAAAAATTAAAAATTTGATTTGATTAATTTTTATATCAGTAATTCATAAATTAATTTTTGATAACAAATATTTTGATAAAACCGCGCCTAACTTATAATAATTTTAAACTCCATTTTTTTAACAGTAATTAATTTAGTCAATTTAATTTTATTCGTCTTGTGCTTTGGCGTTGATAATTGATAACAATGCTCGTTTGTAATGTCCGTGAGTTTCGCTCTAGAATTAAAAAAAAAATTATTTATTTTTCGAAACAATGGAGAAAATTAAAATGAGAAAATTTTTTTTTTTTTTTTGTTTTTCACGTACTCTCACAGCGCTTTCCAATGTTTTCTCATACAGTCTCTCATATTCGAGTTTAATATTTTCCAAATCAATTTCGCTTCTGCAAACGATTATTCGAATGAGTGTGACGTCATCTGTTCCCATTCCCGCCATGGCCGAATGTAATCGTTTGGCAAAAAATGTCGGAGGATGTTGTACGCACTCGACTAAATAATTATTATTATTATTATTAATTAAAATATGATTCTTAAAAAAAAAAATTTCTCTTTTTATTTTTAAATAAACACACACACACACACACCTGTTGCCAACATGGCTTCCTTCATGTTTCCGGATAATTCATTTTTAATTGCCTGTTCTATCGTACGACCTCCGATATTCTTATACTCTTCGAATATGAGCCTGAGTTGTGGAAAACTTTCGTGTGCGAATATCTTGTTGAAAACTTCTTCGTCCGTTCCTAGTTTTCCCTCGCCTGAAAATTCGTAGTTTGAGGTGTTATTTAAAAATTTAAAAGCTTAAATATTTTGTGCTCCCGACGGTTGATTTTTACCCTTGCAAACAAAAATAAAAATAGTGCCTTTTTTATCAAAATCAATTTATACCTGCATTTGCAAGTTCCTGTGCACTAACTGTTGCTCTTTCAAGGCTGGGCGGTTGGTCATCTTTAACCTAATAAAAAATTAGCATGTCAGCCGTTAAAAAATAATTTTTAATTCAATCATTAACTAAATTCTTACTACTACACACATTTTACTACCGTCGCATGCAATTTCAGCCTACGATCAATTTATTTCTACTACAAACAACGAAAATAATACAATAATAATTTAACTTGATTCAAAGAATTGAACACTGTGCTTATTAATTTAAACAAAATTTGTTAAAAAAGCCAACCGCCCTTAAGACAGAGGAGAGAAAGGAAAAAAAAAAAAAAAAAAAAAAGAAAAGAAATTTAAGCACGAAATACTTAACCGGAAGCGTAAAGTTTCTCAGCCAATTCTCGTGCAGCATCCGGGTCCACGTTGGTCGCGTCTTTACGAACTCCCTACACCGAAAATCAAAACGCTAATAATAGCCGTAACGTCTAATAATTTTAATTTTTTGTAGCAAATATTTAAATGCATAGTGTGGTACTACAGTAAGCAATTATAATGCTACTACGACTAAAAATAAAGCTGCGAGAAATTAAGAATTAAATAAAAATAAAAGAAAATCCGATGATTTTCAACTCACGGTTACGATCAACGTTAAAAAACGGCGAAAATCTCCAGAAGTGTCGCTGCACAAGTGTTCGGCAAACGGCCGATTGTATTCTAAAATAATTAAGTAATTTAAAATTAATTTTAATTAATGGCTACCATTTAAAATTCTCACTCTCATTATTTTTAAAAATACAAACTGGCTTCGTAGCAGTCGACTATTTCTTGAATTTGTTGATTGCTTCGAGAGCAAAGGATTTCGATTAGGCAAGAATCATCCGTGCCTAAACCTTTTATGGCTTTGTTCAGTTGCTTGCACAAATATTCGACAGGAGGTATCATTAGAGCGAGTATTAAGTCTTCGAAATTTCCTCCCAATTCTTTCTTTAAATCTTCCAAAAGATTCTGTTTTGAAAATTTTTATATTTTAAAAAATTAAAAACCAAATTCAACACGGTGTAATTCCCCCTTAAAACTTGACTTACTCGTCCGTATTCTTCGGTGAAAAATTTTGCAATTTCTTGCCTTTGACTATTTGATCTATTTGTTAAAATTCCAATAATGGCTTCTTCATCTGTTCCAAATCCTTTCATGGCTTCCCGTAAAGCTGTACCATCTTCGGCGGCATTGAAATTCGGATAGGGTCTTATGGTAGGTACCGGCTAATAAAACACAAAAAATTTATTAATTTACCGCTTTATTTGCTCAGACATTAAAATATTTTTCAAAAAATACATTATTTACAATTTCGTAAAACCTAAAATTAATTTTTCTTACCGTGTAATCTAAAGCCATTTTCAAACGAACGAAATCTCTTAACCTGAATTCTGATTTTAAAAAAAAAAAAAAACTCTTTTAACTTGATTTTGTTCCTACGTGGTAGGAAATAATACTTTCAAGTAAGAAATCCTAATAATACTGACCGTACCTGAAATTTAAAAAAATAAATAAAATGAGACATATTCTTATGACAATACTTATCATATGCTCGAAAGTTTTATTAGTCATCGATTATGTAAACAACTATGACGTAATTAGGTAAATTTAAATAATTTGTCATAAATGGGACTAAATGCGGTCATTTAGAATGTTGCTTATTTGCTAATTTTTTCTAACCAGGTATTGTAAATAATTAAAAAAAAAAAACAAAACAAAACAAAAAACCTGAATTATAATAAGTACAATGTAATAAAAAAAAATTACCAGAAATTTCTCATATACAAGTATACACGTTTTAACAAATTATTAAGTAGTTTAACAAGGTTAAATTTGTTTTAATAATTTTCAATTTTTCGTTATGAGAATAAACAACGTCGTTATCTATCCGTGCGAACGACATGCTTGAAATGATAACCGTGATTCTATCATAGTCAATTAAATTTTACTCACTCATCCATCTATCTATACGTGAATGAGGTAAATTAAAGCAAAAATGATTGCTCTATAGTAATATAAAAAAAAACGAATCAAAAAGTTTTTGCTCCTGCGAACAAATTAAGTTCAATTCGAAGATTCCAATGAAGAATAAAGACATTGTTGGAGAGTGCATTCAGAAATCTTCAGAAGAAGAAAGACCTACATAATCAAGGCCAGTTTAAAACGGTACAAAATAATAATAAAAAAATTTCTGGTGCGCTAAAAATAAATTATCCAATTCAATGCTTGATGAACGGGCAATAATAATGATAATAGTACTTCGAATTATGTGATTATTGTAAATTTTTAAATAACAAACTTTTTTCCTCTTAAAAATAAATAATTGCGAAACTAAATTTGTAAGCAACGAAATTTTAATTAATAATAATAATAAAAACAAATTCAGCGACGAGAAAGAAATCAAATTATGACGATTTTAATTTGTCCTACTCCCCCCCCCAAAAAAAAAACAAAAAAATGACGTGAAATTAATGACTTACCCTTCAAAGATATTTAAATATATATAAATTGAGCAAAACGAACCAGAAAAATAAAAAAAAACCGAATTTATATAAATTTTTTTTTTCAGCTGCGACGTTACGTTGCGCAATGTTCGGTTGTAACTAACCGAAACATTAAAAATTGCGGCAACGTTGCATGATGAGTTCATCAAATAAAATTAGCGCTAAAACTAAACGAAAGCAAAATTTTCTGTGAATCGCGCAAAAATTGTTAAAACTTTAATTTCTTGAACCGAAAATAAGTAAATTTAAATTTTACGACTTTGAAGTATTGATGGGGAACGACGAGAATAAATTATTTTAAAATAAATAAAATTTCTTTACCTTATACTGAGAAGAAGTGTGAAATCTTCAACTTTCTAGAATCTTCATCTCCTGCGAATACCACGTCATTGTTTTCAGTCAGACATTCTAACGGCGGTTACGACGGTCTAAAGTCTTCCATTTGAAATCCATTTTTGCTACGAAACATGAATACCAGTAAATAACTTTGATTGCATGCTGCGAGTGTAAGATCAGTTCTTGCCTTTTTCTAAAGACTACTGTAATTTGAATTGAAATTTACAATAATTAGTATGTTTTAAAAGACAAAATGTTTAATTTAGACATGGATAGATAAATTTTTTTTTAGTTTAAAAAAAAATTTTAAAGTTAAATTAGAAAACATGAGATGTTACCAAAAAAAAAAAAAAAAAAAGAATATGATTTTGTTTTTATTTGTGTTATTGAGAATAAAAAATTTTTTTAAAACTTACCCTCAATTCATTGATGAGTTCTGAAGATCCTTTAGGTTCCATTTGAATTTTTATTGAATCTTCTTCTTCTTCATTTTCTTTAATATGATTATATTTTTCATCGATAAATTCCTCTTTGACAATGCACTCAACCAAATCAGAAGGACTCCCATCAAATTTTATTATTGGTTCTAACTTTATTTTTTTTATTCTTAAAGAACCTTTATTTCTATTGAATTTCATTAATTTTTTTTCATTCTTTTTCTTCTGAAAATTTACCATTTCATCATCTTCATTTTTCCTCGGTTTAGATTCAATGTAATTTCCATCAATTAAAGAATCATTTGCTTCGGTAATTTCAAGTAAATTTCTAGAAGCACCTGAAAAAATCGGTTTCGGCTCAACGGTAACAGAAGAAGAAGGACACCAGAAGTGAAAGTGAATTAAATTGAGATGAAAATTTTTTAGACTCGAAAACATTGTCTAAATAATTGGTATCTGTTCTGGAGTCTGAAGTAGAAAATAAACAGTCTGGCAAAGCATCTTTGTTAAGGGGGTAAATACCGGTAGTTTTAAATCCATTTCTTCCGTTCACAATTAATGCTGATTTGGTCCAAGCTTTGCAAATTAAAGAACCAACTTGAGAATAAGACAGTTTTAATCCTTCATGCTGTTCAGCCCAAGTCGTACTGACACTCTTAAAATATGTTTTAAATGGACCAAAAAATGATTTACCCAATGGCTGAAGAGCATGTGTAGCGTGAGGAGGTAAGCAAAGAAGACTGACATTATTTTTATCGGCCAATTCCAAAAGAGCAATAGAAGAAACCTTTGAGCAATGGCCATTAAGAATTAAAACATTTCGTCCAGGTGCTACCTGGGGCAAAAAATGTTCAGTAAACCACGTAAGAAATATTTCTGAACTGATATATGCAGACTTAGAATTTATATAAATATTTGAACCATGAGGTAGAGCATCAGAAAATTCAGGTCTTAAATTTTTTACTTTAAAAATCACAGTAGGGGGTAAAAATCTACCTTCTGCCGAGCAACAAACGATAATACTGAGTGGATCTCCTTTTCTGTTCTCGATTAATTTACCATTAATATTTTCATCAGTTTTAGATTTTTCATCTTGAATTTTATTGATAAGTTATAAGCCTGATTCATCAACAGTATATATATTTTGAGGCTTATCATGGAGATCATATTTTTTCATTTCTTCATCTAAAAGATTGTAAAAATGATGTGCTGCATCTTTAGTCAGAGCTTTCCTCCTTGACAATGAAAGGCCTTGTGCTTTTTTTATACTTAAAATACTTAATTCTGGATGCCTACGAAAAAATGCCCAAAGCCAATCATAGCCAGCAATTTTTTTTTCCTTGTTAAACTTATGATCCAGTTTTAAAGCAACAGCAAATTCATAAGCTAAACGACGAACAGTTGCTTGTTCTGGACAAAATCCATCTTGACATAATCTATTAATATATCTAATATATGACATAATATCTTTCTGCTTCCCTAAAAGTTATACCCCCTTGTTTAATTCTTTTAATTGCTTCCTTTAACCTTTCTGAATTCCATTGTCCTCTGGGTTTCACTCCCTCTTTCCGTGTGGGCATTTTAAAAGAACTTTTTCTGCAAAAAAGCATCTTATGATTCCCAATTTAAAAAAAAAAAGATCATCAAAGACTATCAAGCCATTTTGGAAATGTAAATAAACATTATATTTTGACATGTATAAAAAATACTTAAAAGCATTGATTTGAAAATGGGCTAAGAACTTAACATTTCAATTAGGAAATATAATATTTAAAAATTTTATACTCACGTCACATTAATAAATAATCTAATAAATAATTAATAAATAAAAACATGTAAAACGCAAACCCACCAAAAAAAAAAAACAATCAAATTTCAAAACGCATTCATTCTGCGCAGTCTGGTGACAAATAATAGAATTAAAAATGCAAGACATCCATTTAGTATTGGGCCCCATAAAAAAAATTTCAAAAATTTTTTTTGAGGGTACCCCTCACATAAAATCTTCTTTAAAATTACAATCTATTAAATTTCTTTAATACAATAAATAAAATATATTAAAATTTATTAAAGAATAATAAATTTGATTGTTAATGATGTTAATGTTGCAGAAGGTACATCTTTTGCAGAAACTGCAGCCATTTTGTTAAAATGCTGATTTTAGAATAATAATAATATCATAAAAAAAAAAAAAAATTTACCCAAATTATTTTTTATTCTTTTGAAAACAAACACACAATTTTTTCAGTTTGAACAAATATATATAATTGATAATTTTTTCCGTTAAATAAATAAATAATAAATTACCTGTGACAGAAAGTTTTTTCAAGTCTCAAATCTTCTCTCAACATTTTTTAAAATTTATTTCTCATGAGTAGAGGGACAGTTTTTTTTTTTTTTTTATTAAAAAAAATAAGAAGTATTAATGAATTTTACATAAGTTATAATATATTATTATGCAGGTATGAATGAAAAAAAATTATTGATAATAATATTAGTCATCAAAGTGTGTTTATGTTCTTATAATTATTCACCATCTTATACCTTAATGTGGAATGCAAAAGGTAAGATTTCCGGTAACAACAAAACAATTTTAAATCAATTAAATTCGGAAAATGTGATGATAAATCCTTGTTTAGAAAAATTTTCACAAATTATTAAACCTTTCATAAATTATTCCGTCGGAAAAACTAAAAAAAAAATTAAAGATGTTTCAGTTAGAGTTCCAACAAATATTTCCATAACTGATTTTCCGGGGGAAAATTTTATTGAATTAAACGAAAGAGAATCAAAAATTCAAAAGTGAGTATTTATTAATATTATTATTCACCTATACCTTAAATTTTTTATAAAAATTTTTTAAATATTTTAGAAAAGAAAAATCAAGATTTCAAGATTTGTCAAATTCTATAAAATTTATTCCAGTTGAATTGATGACGAAAAATCAAATAGAAAATGATAATTTTAATGAGAAAATTTCTTGGCATAAAATTATTAATTCTACTTTTAAAAATACCGACAAATCAAATAAAACTAATTTAAATTATGGAAAACGTAAAAAGCGTAAAAAAAAATTTTTTTTTTTTTTTTTTTGACAGTTTTAATTTCGTTTTTATTCCAATAAATCTAAATTTTCTTTTTTTTTTTCAAGTATTAAATTTATTCACGGTAGTTAATTTCGAAAATGGAAAATGCACTCATGATGACGTAGAAGGAATATGTCTCCATGAAATAGAATGTGAAAAAAAAAAAGGAAAATTTAAAGAAACCTGTGCTGAGGGTTTCGGTGTTTGTTGTTACGGTAAGAATTATGAAATATATAAAATTTCTTCCAAAATTTTGTTTTTTTTTTTTAAATAATACTAATTTAAAAAACAGTTGAAAAAACTTGCGGAGATCACACGGGTGAAAATTCAACGTATTTTGTTAATGAGGGATTCCCCGAACCTTCAACAATGGCTCCTATGTTATGTACGTTAACTTTAGATAAAATTAATTCTCAAGTAACACAATTAAGATTAGATTTTTTATTGTTTGAGGTAAGTATTTATAAAATTTCCATTTAAAAAAAAATTCGAACAGTAAATAAAATTTTTAAATTGCGATTTTATATAGATTCGTAATCCAACGAATGGAACTTGTCTCGAAGATAGATTAATCATTACCGGGCAAAATTTAAATAATATCATACCTGAAATATGTGGCATGAATACCGGACAGCACCGTAAGTTAATTATTAAATATTACAAATGATAATATAAATAATTATTAATTTAATTGATTACAGTTTACGTAGAAGTTAACGATTCTGATGGTCCCTTCAATATAAATATTTTAACCATGGGTGAATATTTTTCAAGAAGTTTTCGAATAAAAATAACACAATTAAAAATGGGAGATGAATTAGTATCCCCAAGAAATTGTTTACAATATTACACGAATCCCAACGGATTCGTTCAATCGTTTAATTATCGTAAATACTATTTGGAAGACTTTGGCAAACATAATAATGGCTATTTCGTAAGAGATTTACAAAACCTTTATGAATATTTTAAATGTTTAACAGAAGTAATATGTACAAAATCTTTTAATTTTTATTACAGAATAATTTAAATTACGTTATATGTATTAAAAAAAATAAAAACGTATGTTCCATATCTTATGAAAACGTGGAAATAGAATCTCCAATACCTTCTTTTCAATTGTTAAATGTAGATGAATGTCTGTATTTTAAATAAATTATTTATTTTGAATTTAATTCATTTTTAAAATATTAATTTATTATTGATTTGCAGATGAAGAAAGACTTATACCACCCATGCAAGCCGGAATGGAAACATTTAATTGTCCAAATGATTATATTATTATAGGAGGAATGCGTTTGTGTGGTGAAAAATTAAATGATGCTTCGATTAATTTGGATTTTTCTCAAAATTATCCAGTGACAGATACAAGTAATGGTCCTTATATTTTACAAATAAGAACAGATGAAGCAACAACTGGAAGAGGTTTTACTTTGACATATCGACAAAATGTATGCATTAATTAATTTCCCTGATTTAATGCTAAATGTAGTACATAAAATTCTAACCTAACCATAGAACATTAATAAATTAATTAAATAAAGTAAATAGTCAAAGTTTCATTTTATTTTCATTCATTAAATAAGGATCACTAATTCTTCTGTAAACTGCTAAAAATTTTTCACCATTGTTTCTAGTAACTTTTTGCCCTTCTTCACTACTTTGATATAATTTATCTATCACAGGATCATTATCGATTTCTTCTCTAGTTAAAGCAACAAAAAGAGGATGATTATCGAAATGCTTAACCATCCATTCATGAAGATCTAGTACATCTGTTACTGTATATACAACACCCTTAAATAAAAATTTCAATTATAAGAAGGTTTAAATTTCGATTGATGGTTATGAAAATACAAATAAGGTAAAATCTTACTCCCTCTTTCAAAACATAAGCATACTCTGCTAAAAGGCTGTCATTTATAATTCTCCATCTATGTTTTGATTTTTTGAAATGTGGATCAGGATATAGAAAAAACATTTTTGTCAATTGTCCTTTTTTAAAATAATTTGGTAAATATTTCATTGCATTCGATCTAACACAAGCAATATTTTCATATTTTCCAGGATACTGAGATCTTAGAGCAGCTATTTTACTTATAACATAATCCGATACTTTAACTCTAATTTCCATACCCAGCATTAGTACATCTGGGAATAATGGAGATAGGGTAACTGCAATAAAAGTTTTTTTATTTTAATTTAATAAAAAAATCATTAAAAAATTTTACAACTTGAGGAACTCTTTCATTTAATTTTTTCAAAAAATTACTTAATAGAGTTCCGATAAAAAATTTATATGTGTATGCATGAATTACTTTGTTAAAATAATGTTAAACATAAGTATAAACAGATAAATTTAATGTGTGTAATTATTCAGTGCTATTCACTTGTATTAATGATTTTTTTATTAAAATTAATTTTAATTTATCATAACTTACCTAATAAACCTCCATAGCCACATCCAATATCAGCAAATTGAACTTCTTTATTGGTAAGAGATTCATTTCCAAAAAATGAAGGGTACAAATCAGACCATTTCATTTTTTCCGGTGATAAGGGGCTAAAAAAAAAAAAAGGAAAAATAATTTAATAAAAATCATTAAAAAATATGATTACAATAATTTTTTTTATAAAAAATTATTAGTAACTAAAATACTTACTATTCAATGCAATGATCAGCTATTGGGTTAGAATGTGCCCTTTGACGATAATACTTTTTTTGAGGTAAATTCATGATTTATTTTTTATATGTCATGTAAAACAAAAACTAAATTTCAAACTAATGCAAAACTCCAAATTCTAATGTTTTGGATTACACAATTCACAGTCAAGTTAAACAAGCCAAAACCTCGCCATTACGAAATAAGTTAAAATTCAAATATTTAAAAAAATTAATATTAACGATAAAAAAAGTATTTAAAAAATAACTTTTAATTAAGTTTTTCTATTTAAATAAATTATTATTAAATCTCAAATTAATATAATAACTCTACAATAGAATTTTTTAACGGTGACGATTTTTATTTTCAACAGTTGGCAACATTTATTTTCGAAAATTTTTGAACGTTTGACTAATGGATTGACCTTATGAAAAAAAAATTATTTAACTTTAATTATTTAAAAAATTAAAAATTAAAATGGTAAGGACTGTTAAAAAAAAATTATAATCTATTCTTAAAATAAAATATTAATCATATTAGTTCTATATTACCTATTATTAAAGTACATAAAGTGCATTTCCAGTAATTTTTTATTTTATTAAGTCATTTTCCTATTAAAATACTAATTTTTTTTTGTGTACTAAATTTTAGTAAATAATTAATTATTATTGCTCGAGGAAAAGCGTGTTTGTTGTTACAAACTAAACAGTCGGAATAAAATGTGTGTCAATTAAAAATGTACTTTACTTTACATTTAAATAACAATTATTCCTATTTTCAGATAATTTCATAATTTTTTTTTACTAATACTTTTTGGAATACATGGTAAAGAAGTGGAAATACTTTGTTTATTGTCACTAAAATTTTTACTAGTATAACAAATTTGAGTTTCTTCAGGTATTAAACATCGATCCGAACCGGAAGACCTGAGAAACCTCATCAATGGTATATTTTCATCATAATTTTTATCAATTTTTCCATCAAATTCCATAACGGTTTCTCTATTGACATATTTTTTATTTCCGGATAAGGGTTTTATTTCTATTTCATTATGATATTTATCCGTACCGGAAACGGGAGTTATTAAAAGACTCGGCGAAGCATTTATTTGTTTTTCACAAAAACTTCGTCTTTTCAATGAGGGAAAACGAAACAAAGTTTTAGACCGTGGAAAATCTCCATCGTGTTTCGGACTAAACAATCCAAATTTTTTCGATGGAGATTGAGACTCTCCCGACTCTTTTTCCAATAATAACAATTGTTCGTTTAATTTAATTTCAAACGACCTTTCGGGTACTCTTAAACTATCCTTATTATTATCTTTATAACTTTCCTGTCGCGAATACATTCCTTTTAAAAAGGTTTTACGGTGTTGTATCGGAGTTCCACATTCTGAGCTTCCAGGACTGATATCTTCCATAGTGTTAACCACAGTAGGTGCTCGACCCGACGATGAAAGTTGAAAAAAAACAACGGATGTGTCTTTCGTACATTTTTCTCCTCCCATATCATCGTTTTCAAAAACTGTCGGCAAGGGAACAAAACACAGAAACTAATAAATTATCACCTCCTAAATAATAATAATTATTAATAAATAAAAGCAAAAAATAATAATAAATAAATAAATAAAAAAAAAAAAAGCACAATAAATATTGTGTGTGTGTGTGTGTGTTAATAAGTTTTGTCGAATCGCATAAAAATATAATTTTTAAAAAAATATTTATATATAAGTATAATACTTTTATAATATTCTATTAATTTAAATATATATATATAAGCATTAAAATAAATAATATTATTTATAAAAAAAAATTAATTTATAAACAAAAAAAAGTAAGTGTAAGCTCTTTTACAAAATTAATTATTTAAACACCAAACCATTCAAAAAGGCACAAAGCTTATCAAACCTTTTTCTTATTCTTCCTTTTTCTAATTTATTATTATTATTATTATTATTATTATTATTACTTGTTAGTTATTGCTACTGTATTCATAATATACAGGTTTTAGTATTTTTTTTTTTTTTGTGAAATACTACCAAACAAAATTCTACATGAAGTCATATCCATTTATACTCCAACTACTTATTATAAAAATATTATTTTTTTATTTATTTATTTACCAATTAATAAATAAATTATTATTATTATTATTTACTTTAATGTATTGAATTAAGTGTGTGGTTAAATATGAGCTCAAGAGTGCATTTTTATTTCAAATTATGAATTGTTCGCACATATATATATATTGAAAGTATTAAAAAAAATTTATATATATATCGATATAAATAATATATAAAAAACTAAAAACTACAAACATGTTTATACTGATTGTGTTATCATACATTGATTATTAATTAGTCGCGGTTAATTTAAATAATCTATAAATAAAGCAATTACAGAATTTAAAAAAAAAAAAAAATTCAAATTACAATTGGAAAAAAAATATTTTATAAATGAATTAATGAATCATTACTGTAATTGTACGTTTAAAAAAAATTATTATTATTATTATTATTTTTTTTTTTTTTGTTTTGATATTTTGTTATTGATCATGCTTGCATGCGTGTAAGAGTTTGGCTTTTTTTTTTTTTGTAAACACCCATTTGTTCACATTGTAAATATATTTTTCTTTTTCTTTAGAATCGATACTTCCGATTTATTATCGATAAATTCCGAATCTGAAGGATCTTGGTTTTTATTATTATTATTATTATTATTTTGATTATCGCGATTTTCCGATTTATCCTGACCAGGATCGAGATTTTTCCGATTCGGAGAAGGATTCGGTGGAAAAGAATCGTTTGATTTATTCGAATCCGTTTTCGAACCGTTATCGGGCGAAGGAGGTTTTACAAAAGAATCCGATTCAATTTTCTTTTTTTCCGCGTAAGAAGGGGTTTGAGTTTGAGCATCCATCACGTTATCTTTGTAGTAGTGAACCTGTTTTTCTTTCGACGTTGACGGTTCGTTTCCATTCGTTAAATTTTTAGATTTTTTAGGGTATCTCAGGTACAAAGCCGAGGTGTGAATTCCTTTCACGGGTTTGGGTTTGTCGAAAGAAGTATCGGATTCCTCTGAATTATTATTATTATTATTATTATTATTATTTTCTTGTACGGACAAAGATGAATTTTTCGTTTTATCGTTATTTAATTTTTTTCGAGTCTTCGAATTTACAACATGTGGGGATTCCGAAAGCTCTGCATGCGGTTCATATGCAACTTCTTGTATTAGTTTTTCATATTTTTTGGGTAACTCACCTCCTACTTCACCTGATTCTCCGAGTACGTCTTCGCAAGCTTCTTCGTTTAATGTCTGAAGAGCACCGCAAATCATTTGATCTTCCATAGTAACCTGATAACGTACGTGTACATTTTGTAAAAAGTGAAATTATTATTAAACAACAAATAAAAGAAGTTTGTCAATATTTACCTGATTCTCTACGGTAATGGATTTCGTAGATGGTCTTCTTAAATCTTTTTCGTGGTCTGCTAATGGCTTCAAACTATCGCGACTTTTGTCCGAAGAAAAGGATTTGTTTTTAGATATGAGAAATCGAACGTTTTTAACTCCGGCTTCTTCGGTTTGAGTAACATAAGATAATTCGTGCTCTCTCAGAGAAATAATCAATACTTTAAACATTTCCCAATCGCCAAAATTCATTTGCAAAACCTTTAAACCAAAAATTAAATTAATTAAAAAATTAAAAACCTTCTGTAAATAATAAAAAAAAAAAAAATGAACCTTTTTTAATTCATCCATATCACAATGTAATAAAACTTTTCCATTTATATTATTACTTTTTATCACAGAAATATATTTTGAGGCACTACTGGCATCCATATCTTGCATTTTTTGTATCAAGTCGCAAATCCCGTCAACCGTTCTTTGAGACAATTTTTGTTCAAACATTTCACTCTGTAAGAATACGAAAGAATTTCCAAAAGTTAAAAAATGCTAAAAATTAGAGAGGAGGTCTATAATTTAAGCGTGTTCGAACTTAACCGGAAGAGATGTTGTGGCAGAAATCGGTGCCTGACACGGAAAAGGCTCCGAATGATGCGTTACCAAACATCTTTGACAATAAATATCCGGACAAATAGGCATGGCCGCCGAGTGATAATTATTCATTCTATTCAAGGGAATCCTTAAATTTTCCTTAGGTAAAACCCAATCGTTTCCCTTCCAAAGAGGTTTTTGATTCCTCGCATTCGGATATTGATTCAAAAATGGCGATCCACTCCATCTACCTTCTTGAGCATCTTCTACGAATATTTACACATAAATTGATATTAATCCACTTAATATTTCAAAATCCTGATAAAATTTAACCTCTTTGATTTTATACCTTTTATAACTTTTTTTATGTAAGGATCTAGATTGATTGTGAAGGGTAGGAAAATTTTTAAATCTCCCAATAAAAGATTGCTTCTATGATAGGATAAAAAAATATCAAATTTTTTTTCATCTTTATCTCTTTCTAACAACGGCTCCATTTCCTTATTGACTGGAATTTTCGGACGAACTCTGGAAAAATAAACAAACTCACTTTTAAACTTAATTTTCTCCAAATGATTTGTAATAAATTATTTTATATAATTATTATTATTATTATTATTAGTAATTAAATAATTTTTTTTTTTATTTACTCATCGTATATTGATTTCAACGATATTTGATCATCCAAAGTGTCTTCGTTTAATTCGTAAAACCAAATTATCCAAGATGTTCTGTAAGGCCATTGTTCGGTTATGTTTATCCAAACGGCTAAATGATACCAATTAAAATCCATATGAAATGCTTTTAACAAACGACCTGAAAATTAAAAAATTTTTTCTTTTATTAAGCGTATTAGCGTACATTTTGTCTTTAAAAAAAAAAAAAAAAAAAAAAAAAAACCTGTTTACCTGTCACGTAAACAACGTTAAGAAGTCTTCGCATACTCCTCGGGTTAACATCGCTGAAATAATCATCCGTTAGAAGCATTTTAGTCAGATCTTGAGCCCCCCCAATTTTATTTAAATTGCTACCTATGCTACTGGCAACACTGTCACTTGATTTTAATTTTCTAGAACTTCTTTTTGTTGATGGTATTTTTAATTTTTCCATACTAGTATTAAATGTCGATTCGGAAGATAATCGTCGTGCAGCAAACTGAAAAAAATTTCATAATTAATAAGATTAATTTTATTTATTTATTTATTTTTTTTTTAAAATAATAATAGAGCGAGTAAATTGACGTAATACACTTAAATCCTCCGTTATTTCGTGATTTAATCGTTTGCTGGCTGCATTTTGGGCAATTTTAACTTTTCTTAAGGCAGAATTGGCAAGATAAAAAGGTAAATGAACCATATTTCGAAGGTATTCGTGGCCTCCGATGCTAGAATCGGATAAAAGTTTTCTACTGTTTAATTCCACAGCCTGTAAAAATCACAAGTTATCTCATGTTAAAATGACACTTTCAAAAATAATAATAATATACTTTTTATAAAAAAAAAAAAAACCTTTGAAACGATATGAGGATCAATGGCTAGTATGACTATAAATGGTGAATCCGCATCGGAAAACAAAACGTGAACTGCATCTAAAATCATTAAAACTTTATCCTGTCCGCACGAATCCAATCCATTAACGATAACAACCAATCTCGTTTGTTGTTTTGTAAAACTATCCAAACACTTTACCTAAAAAAAAAAAAAAAAAAATAATTTTTTTCAGTAACAACAATCAGTTCTAAAAATACGGTAATGTAATTTAAAACTCACCATCTCCGACATTAAGGTAACTTCTCCTTTTAAGGCTTGTAAAAAACCTTCCGATTTCAAGGTTTCCAACCGTGCGATTGTCTTTCTCAATTGTCGCCTTTGTGAAAAAACTAAAACTGCCAACAAATGACCGATTGTGTACAAATTTGCAACTAAACCGATTGACAATAGAGTTCCAATTACTATTAATATTATTTTTAATGATGTATCGCTTAAATAATTTTCTCTGGAAAAAAAAAAAAAAAAAAATCATCATTTCAATTAAAAATACAACAAGTTAAATTATTGAAATAATAATAATTTTAATACATTTTTTTTCCCATTTACCTTTCGTATGAAAATAAATTAAAGTAAATAGCCAATAAACAAATTTCAATAAGTAATAGAAAAAAACCGATTTCGAAAATAACAATATGCGGAATACAACAAGCTTTTCTCCAACGTCTCGGAGCTGTAGCTTTTACTACAAAAAAAAAAAAAAAAAAAATTGTAAATCAAATAAATTTTTCAACCGAGAAATACAAATAAAAATTATTTACAAGGTTTTGGACGAAATGCTCTGTACATTCTCGTGGATAAAACTCCGTAATCTTTTTCTATAGAATCGTACAAAGAGCCCAACATGACGACTACGGAATTTTCACTGTCGGTAGTTGAACTAATTTTTGTGTGATCGCTAAAATTAAATCTAATGGGTTGTACTCTGGAATCATTCCACTGAGATCCAGGGGGATGGCAAAATATTACCTGAAAAACCGACGGCATTGATTATTTTAATTCAAGTTAAAATTAATTAAAGTAATTTATATAATTTTACTAACTTGCATTATTAATCTGTAAGAATTAATGCGACGAGCGACAGAAATTCCAACTTGGTAAGGCCATTGCCAATCGTACCTAAATAAATTTAAAAAAAAATTAATTTAATTAAATTTAAAATTAAAATCCATAAATACATATCTGTTAAACTAAATCCGTAAAAAAAAAAAAAAACATTTAATGCTAGTACGATAAACATATATAATTTTTAATAAAAAGAAATGAATGGCGGGGGAGGGGGGGGGCAAATATTTAAAAGGAAATAAACAACATCAAACAACGGCCTTTTAGAAAGAAATTTACCTGGTATATAATCTACTTATTAAAGACCTGCATAATAAAAAATAATTGCTTTGATAAGGATAAAAAAAAAATTAAAACTTTTAAACTAGGATTTTTGTTTTCTTTTTTTTTTTTTTTTTTGATAATAAAAACTCACTATTATAAACTCATGTTTACCTTTTTCCACAGCACCATAAAATTATAAAAAATATAAGTATAAAAAAAAATGAAGAGGTTAGCGATATGACACCGGCCAACCAAGAACACGAAGCTAAAGCGACAATTACTGCAAAAACTACAGTTAAATGAAATACTGTGATAACCAACAGACTAGATAATTTAAACGAAGGATCTACCCATTGGCGTGCAAAATTTTTCATTTCCTCTGCGAACGAAAAAGAAAAAAATTAATTAGTTAATATAATAATAATAATATTTTTTGTTTAAATTATATCTCCTCGCATTGATTACAAACAATAACCTTTTAATTTGTTTAATAAAAAGGATTTACCACTACCCCATTTAGCATAGAGGCCAACGGTGATGGGCATTGAAAGAGATGGTTCGGATAAAATATCCGCCAAAGCGCTACTATACAAATCATAGCCCAACATATTTTCATTATCCTCGTTCGTATTCAAACGACCTTAAACATAATTAAATGAAAACCGATTTCAAGGGAAATTAGTTGAATAATTTGTAATTGCTCTTTTTTTTTTTTTTTTTTTTTTTTTTTTTTTTACTCCAAATTACATTTTCATCAGCTTTTATATGCTTACGAGCTCCGAAAATTTGCCCCAAAATTGTTTTTTGCTGATTGATGTCTATGTTATACGGAGTTTCTCCATTTCTATTCGGCCTGTACAACAATTGACTGTTTCTCGGATTCCGCAAAAGTATTTCCACTATTTTTTTAGATCTTGCTCTCATGGCTATGTGAAGAACGGTATCTCCTTTCTTATCGGTGACGGAAACTTTGGCTTTTTTATCTAATAATAATTGAACTATTTCCGCATTACGAGATCGTACGGCTCGCAACAGAGCAGTATCTCCATCCTTTAAAAAAAAAAATATTTTTTTATTTAAAAAAAAAAAAATTTTAATCGGCAAAATATTAATTTGTATGAAACCTACTTTTGTTGTTACTTCAAGGTCTGGATTAGCACTCAAAATTAACTTTACCAGGGGTGCATTCCCCTTTTCCACTGCCGTATACAAAGCTGTCTTTTTATCTTTTCCGGGTGTGTCGACATCGACATACTTCTTCAACAAAGCTTCGACAACTCCCCGATGACCTCCTTTAACGGCTAGAATTAGATTCGTATCACCCGACCGATCCTTCAATTTCATTTTTAGATTTTAATATTTCATTATAATAGAAAATCTATGGAATTTTAAAATAAATTTTTTTTTTTTTTTTTTTTTTACCTGTACATTAATATAGGCACCCGCAGCTAATAAGGCAACAACAATATCGTAATGACCTTCTTTACAAGCCAATGCCAAAGCGGTATATCCATCTTTGTCTAAAGCATTCACGTTAGGTTTATGCTCTAGTAGTAAACCTACAACTTCGGCGTAGTTGCCGGCAGCTGCTACGATAAGTGGAGTCCACGAATACTAACCGAACAATGTTAAAACAAATATAATTAACTGCAGCAAATAAAATTTTATAAAAAAATAAGACATTTTTCATTATTTACCATTCCCGAAGCATCTGCATTCGCGCCGGCTTTAAGTAACATGTCCACGATCTCGACGTATCCCTTCCGACATGCCCAAATGAGTGCTGTCGTGCCATACTGTAAAATAATATTAAATTAAAATCAGACAAATATATTAATGAAATTATTTTAATATTAAAATTTACTTACTTTATCACCCTTGTTTACTTTTGCAGAGTTTTGCAATAATATTTTAACTATATTTGCGTGTCCCCGTCCGCTTGCCCAATGTATGGAAGATATGTGATAATTATCGTGAGCGTTCACGTCGGCTCCCCTCTCGACAAGTAATTCCACTACCTGGGTATGACCTGATATAATAAAAGTAAACAATCGAATTAATTTTGAGGAAAAATAGGTTTAAAGTTTAAAAATGAACGTGAAACATGGTTTTTACCTTTATACGATGCCCATAATAACGCTGTCCAACTTCCCATGTCTCTGTGATCGACATCTGCTCCATGATCGAGTAATTCTTTGCAGATATCATACCAACCTTCTTTAGCCGCACAAAGTAAAGCCGTCCAATTGTCATCGTCTTCGGCGTTAACGTCAGCCCCATAATCTATTAGATCTTTAACGAAATCAAGTTTTCCTTTTGTAGCAGCATAAATTAAAGCAGTGCTCCGATTCTAAAAATCGAAAAAATCTCATATTAAAAAATGAAATAAAAAATCAAAATTTCCTTTATGATTTTGTTTTCACCTCATCCCTATCGTCAACTTGTGATTTTTTTTCATTTAAAAAACTTCTTAGTTCGGTTACATTATCATCTTCTATGTAAGTTGCAAGAGAACGATATGACAGCGACACCATGGAGTCACTTTTAAGTAAATTCTAAAAGTAAAAAAGAATCACTTTTGTTAATACACACAGGTTGCATTAAAATACATTTAAGAAAACCTATAATTTTAAAAAATTTAAAAAAAAAAAATAAAATCAGAAAAAAAATTATTTTTTTAAAGCAAATTAAAAAATGTTAAATTATGCCAAATTATTTAATACTATTTTTAATAATAACAATTATTATGTAAAATTAATTTTTAGAATAAAAAAAAAAAAAATGATGTTATACAAAAAGCATTAAAAAAAATTTTTTTTTTTTTTTTTGCATATGAGAAAACTCACTCACGTTATGTATATATATATATATTAATACCTGAAAAATATCAAAAATTTTTTTTTTTTTATATATAGTAAATAACAATTTCAATTTAAACAAAAATAAAAAAACTGATTCCGTCATAAACACATCATTTTAAAAATTAAAATATTGAAAAACGCTTATAAAAAAAAAAAAAGTTGATTATTTTGTAATAAAAAAATGAATAAGCACACACTTGTAAATTTAAACACAACTCAAATCTTACTTAAGTTCTTTTTTTATTATTATTATTATTATTATTAAAAATAATAAAACATGTTTTCATATGTATATTATTGTAGCACAGGCTTTGTGTGTAAGGTTACAGACGTTATTATTTTGCCGATTAGTAAGGCCAGAACTCATAAATATAAGAAACTGACCGTTTGTGACAATTTCCTCAGTCCGAAACTTATTTTTCGTCCGGTAAAATTTCCAGAACTCGAATCGAAACTAATCGTCGGCACGGATATGTTTTGAATTTGATTGTAAAAAGAAGAGAGTCCTTCGTTTAATATTCCCGAATAATTTCCCGGAAGGAATGACATTCTTCTTTTCGGATATGACGACGTTTCCGATTCTTCGGATCCGTGAGGAAGTGACATTCCTCTGGGACGTAAATTTCTCTCTCCATTATCATCACCAATTGATTGTTCGATTCCTGATGGACTTTCGCTAATTAACGATATCGATCTCTGATGGGTAAACCTTTTTCTTCTACCTTTCAAATCATCCCCGTCATTTTTATCAACGTCGTTTGATATTATTCCTACATTCGTTTCTTCTTTTTCCACGGGTAAAACTCCATTTTCTTCTCGTAAATTCCCTTCTCCGAATTCACCTTGGAAATTTATAATTATATCCAAAAATTACATTGAAACGGAAACGAAATAATATAAATTACTCGAATTATAATTATTATTATTATTATTATGTGCGCTCGCGTGGGACACAACAATTTTCAAATGCGCAAATTTTTATATTAAGTAAATCTCCATTTGAATCCATTTTATTTAATTTAATAAAAAATTTTTTAATTTTTTAATTTGTAAATCAAATTATCCAATTCTTAATTTTCTCACCTTCTCCTCTTTCGAGCTCTTGTTGACAACCTTTTGTAAATTCTGTTAAATCAAATGTCGGTTGCTGGAGAAGAATTTTCGTACGGTTTAAAGGTTTCCCAGTTTTTTTCCCATTTAATTTGTCTGCCTCCAATAAAACCCCACATTTTTCCATTTTTTCATAGTTTTTTAATTTTTTAATTTAAATTTACTGATTTTTCGTTTAAACAAATAAAAAAAAAAAAATATTTAATAAATTTCACTTTTAAAACCCTTTTTTTTTTTTTTTTTTGAAAATTTTTTATTTTTTATTGTGTTTCTGATAAAATTTAATTTCAATTTGATATTTTCAATTAAATTTCGTACAACAGAATTTTTTCAACATTTTCGATTGTAAACAATTTCTCACGTTTTGATACGGCTAAAAAAAAAAAAACTACAATATCAAAAAACCAAAAAAAAAAAAAATTTATAAACAAATTTTCTTGAAAACAATTTTTAAAAAAATTTCTTATAAAGTAACGTTACAAAAATTTTCCGTTACCTCACGATGACAATAGATAATACCTGTTTAAATAACCTAAAAAAAAAAAAAAAAATTTAACTCCCCACACACACAATTTTTCTTTAAAAAAAAAAAAAAAAAAAAATTCTTTCGAAATCAAAATTAATTTTAAAATTTTAACGTTTTTTTTCCCCTTTTTTTTT